ACTTTGCTCACACAGCATATAAGAACTTACCAAAAAATTTTAAATAACCGGTCTAAAATATTGCTTATAAATTTCTTATGCTATATTGCTACCAAATACTGGATTCAATGTTTTTATCAACTTGTTTTCTTTCAATTAGCACAGGTGTTGTATTTCTTTTTGCAACTGATTGATGGTGGGGCCTCATTGATCAAAAACTGAGTTGCATAAGCATAATGAGGTGCATTATTTAAGATTTGGTGATAATATAGCATAATGGATTTACAAGCAATTTTTAAAAGGCCGGCAATTTTTGACCAGGACCACCAAATTAGGTAAAGGATTTTCAGCACAGCACAGGGTTAATTACAAGTGCATTATGACCAAATAATTTTTTATTATTTACATCACACATCACAATTTATATAGAACATCAATACTTTTATGTATATAATATATAACTGAGTTAAAAAGTAAATAACATTTTAGTCATTTTTTTCAGGAATCTTTGGTGAATAGAAAGTTCAAAAGAACAGCATTTATTTGAAATATAATTTTTTTTTAAACAATGTACGGTCACGTTTGATCAATCTAATGTACCCTTGTTGAATAAAAATATTAAAATATAGCATATAATGCATTATTATGCTGTACATGCTAAATTTCATCAGTAAATGCATATTGTTTGTAATGGGTTATGCTGCCTTCTAAGAGAACTACTTTTAGAATCAATTTAAAAATGGAAAAATCTCGCTCTAGTTCAACCTAATTAAAAATGGACTAGTTTACATAATGAGACATATTTTAATGCTTAGATTATCAAGTTGTTAGCTTAACAACAAGCCAAACTCTACTGAAATTAATGATGAGTCTCCCATGACAGCTCACTAGGTTTTGGAACAGAGCCACAGAGATATATCATACTTCAGCTAGTTTTCTGTGAAGTGCGCGCGCACACACACACACACACAATCAGAAAGTAAGGAGAAAAAAATGACACCAACATGCAAAGGTAAACTAAGATTTTTTTTTATTCCTTTCTTTTTTTTTTCTTATGTATATATAGATCTATTTTTTTTTTTTGTTCCTTTTTCTACATACAAGTCCTTATGTCGTCATGCTGGGTGCAGCTTCGGTGAAGTAGCTCATGCAGGTGACCCATGTGGATATTACGAAGGACAGGCAAAAGACGGGGTGGACCGAGATCGAGTCCAGATCGAGCTGGACCACCTCCGGACTCCACTGTACAGTCACCAAATCACAAGACGTTTAGAAACGGGCTGACCAGGACCAGGAGGACGAAAGTCAGGACTCTTCGCTAAAACTCGGCTCAGATTCCCAAAAGAACAAATAAACAAGAAAAGATCGTGACATCATCAACTGGCGTCTCACGCCATCAAAATCCTCCGTAACAGAAGACGGCAGCAGAAGAGAAGGCGAAGATGAAATTAGGATGTTGCAAAAGAAAGAATTTTTTTTTTTTTTTTGTAGAAAAAAAAAAAATCCCACAAGTCTCCTGTCCTTGAAAAGTGTCACCAGCAGAAAGAGCTACTTTTTGCTGAGCCACATTTATGTAGAACCGTCTGTGCTCATTAATTTCATTCCGCAATCGTTTCCATTAGAGCAAAAGGAGTCAAAGTGTACAGTCATTAATCATTACAGTACTGCAGATCCCCATACACTCACATGAGTCCATCAGAAATACATTACGGCACAAACCACGGCCGCCCTGGCATTTAGAGTAAAGACCTTAAAACGAAAATGCATGTTGATTTTTGTGTGAAAAATTAAAATTAGTAATACATATGCAAGGAGTCTACTGTAACGGCATCGGAGAGGGTCACAATATATTTACAGCAGTACATCCACTGTGTACCAGAACACTGAGAATGACGAGCGCATCCCAAAGCCAGTCCTGATCCAACTCAAACGCACACATTAAAAAAAAAAATACATTAGTGAATGAACGAAACAAAACTCAAACAAGGCAGAACTGTAAAATGCTGAACAATCTTTGCACCAATAACCTTCTTGTCTTTTAAAAAATAGTCTCAGTTGGTTTATAATCTTCAAAAGGAAAATAAATTGACATCTTTGGTGAAGATTCCACAGCAATCTCTCAGTCTTGTTGCCATGATGTCTCTGCAGAATGCCAACTGGGCTCAGCAGCAGGTGCACAAACGAACACACTCAAACAGAAGGACGGACGGATAAACGCGCATACTGCTGGTTACTTTAAAAGTTTTCAAATCAACAACAATCCCGCTGGAGAAACCTGATGCCATCGAGGGGAAAATGGAATGACCGTTGTGAGGATGAAGCAGGTCTGATTTCACTGAAGAACAGGCTCTGCGAACATCAGTACTTTTAACAATTTTGAAGATTTAAAGAAATAGTTGACCTTCCTAAAATCACCATTCCAAACCTGTATGCTGTTATCTTTTCCTATTAGAGCCTTTGAACAATCTTAACCACCCAAAAAAAGGACCATAAACCCATTAAACCACCTTTAAAGTAGTCAATATTTAATGATTGTAAATCTTTCCTTCTGCTGCAACTCTTAGATGTTGTTATTTTACATACTGTACAATACTGTTCAAAAGTTTGAGAAAAAAAAATACATGAATTCATCAAGTATGCATTACATTGCTCAAAAGTGACATTAAAGACATTTACATTGTTAAAAAATATTTCTATTTCAAATAAATGTTGTTCTAATTCATCAAGTATGCATTACATTGCTCAAAAGTGACATTAAAGTGACATTTACATTGTTAAAAAATATTTCTATTTCAAATAAATGTTGTTCTTTTGAACGGTTTTCAACATTGATAATACTAAATGTTGTATTAGCACCAAATCAGCATATTAGAAGGATTTCTGAAGGATCGTGTGACACTGAAGACTGGAATAATGGCTGTTGAAAATTCAGCTTTGACATCACAGGGATAAATTACATTTTAAAATATATGAAAATAGAAATCAGTTATTTTAAATTGTAATAATATTTCACAATTTTTATGGGATTTTTGATTAAATAAACACAGCCCTAACTTTTGAACGATAGTGTACAGCATATAGTAGTGAATAATTTTCCTACATTTCGGTCAATTTCTCACAGAGTCATATAGAGTAATGTCATGCTGATTTTACATTGATGTTTTGTCCTTTTAGAGCTTGACTTACAGCATACATTTACATTTATGCATTTAGCAGACGCTTTTATCCAAAGCGACTTACAGTGCATTCAGGCTGTTTTTGTTTTTTTATCAGTATGCATCAAGCGGCAACCTCCAGCTCTCTCTGGTGAAGCCAACAAGGAAGTGACTTAAACTGTAATTCATCAACTGGCCGCTAGAGGCTGGCTGCAAAAGGGAGTCAATCCCATAGACTCCCCATGTTAAAATGGCCAACTTTACAGCAGAAAAAAACGTTTATAGCCTGGTTCAAAAAATTATTTTGGTCTATATAGCTAATTTTGCCCTTCATGACAACTGTGAGGGGGGTGAACTTTTTTATAACTCATCCGTTTAAATTATATTAAGCCTTAAAGTTCTGCATAATTAAGGGCGTGGCCACTTGAATGACAGGTGGATTGCCGCTGCTGTCACCACCGTCAAGCTAGGTGGGCGTGGTTTCAGCAACCAGCTCCCGCCTCTTTGCCCATTTTCGATTATCCGGGAGTGACGC